GAAGGCAAGAAGGCAAGAAGGCAAGAAAGCAAGACAGCAAGAAAGCAAGGAAACGAGAAAGCAAGAAAGCAAGGAAGGGAGAAAGCAAGAAAGCAACAAAGCAAGGAAGAGAAAGCAACAAAGCAAGGAAGAGATAAAGCAAGAAAGCAACAAAGCAAGTACACAAGAAGGCAAGACGGCAAGAAAGCAAGAAAGCAAGAAAGCAAGGAAACAAGAAAGCAAGAAGGCAAGAACGCAAGAAAGCAAGGAGGAGAGAAAGCAACAAAGCCAGGAAGAGAGAAATCAAGAAAACAACAAAGCAAGTACACAAGAAGGCAAGAAGGCAAGAAGGCAAGAAAGCAAGAAAGCAAGGAAACAAGAAAGCAAGGAAACAAGAAAAGAAGGAAGCGAGAAAGCAAGAAAGCAAGAAAGCAAGGAAGAGAGAAAGCAACAAAGCCAGGAAGAGAGAAATCAAGAAAACAACAAAGCAAGTACACAAGAAGGCAAGAAGGCAAGAAGGCAAGAAAGCAAGACAGCAAGAAAGCAAGGAAACAAGAAAGCAAGAACGCAAGGAAGGCAAGAAGGCAAGAAGGCAAGAAAGCAAGGAAGCAAGGAAGAGAGAAAGCAACAAACCAACAAAGCAAGTACACAAGAAGGCAAAACGGCAATAAAGCAAGAAAGCAAGGAAACACGAAAGCAAGAAGGCAAGAAAGCAAGAAAGCAAGGAAGAGAGAAAGCAAAAAAGCCAGGAAGAGAGAAATCAAGAAAACAACAAAGCAAGTACACAAGAAGGCAAGAAGGCAAGAAGGCAAGAAAGCAAGGAAGCAAGCAAGAGAGAAAGCAACAAAGCAAGGAAGAGATAAAGCAAGAAAGCAACAAAGCGAGTACACAAGAAAGCAAGAAGGCAAGAAAGCAAGAAAGCAAGGAAGAGAGAAAGCAACAAAGCCAGGAAGAGAGAAATCAAGAAAACAACAAAGCAAGTACACAAGAAGGCAAGAAGGCAAGAAGGCAGGAAAGCAAGAAAGCAAGGAAGAGAGAAAGCAACAAAGCCAGGAAGAGAGAAATCAAGAAAACAACAAAGCAAGTACACAAGAAGGCAAGAAGGCAAGAAGGCAAGAAAGCAAGAAAGCAAGAAAGCAAGAAAGCAAGGAAGAGAGAAAGCAACAAAGCAAGGAAGAGATAAAGCAAGAAAGCAGCAAAACAAGTACACAAGAAGGCAAGAAGGCAAGAAGGCAAGAAAGCAAGCAAGCAAGAGAGCAACAAAGCGAAGAAACAAGAAAGCAAGGATTCAACAGCGCAAACAAAAAGACAAACCTTCCAGTGGTTTTCTCTTACGGGCCATGTTTGAGACCAGCTAGTCAGTCGCAAGTTTTTTTGGTTTTCCGTGTGGAGTGTCACAGGCTTCAGGACGCAGGCTTCTCCAAGCGGAGTGCGGCAAAAAAATCGTGTGGCGGTTGGGGGCACATCACCTGGGTATGGGTGAAATAAAATAAAGAACACCGGGAATTGGACCGCAGATTTTAGTTGTTGGTTCCATTTGCCAGGGCAAGCCATTTTGGCTACCCATTTTTGACCCACAGCCACCTGCGCGGACTGAAGCTGAGTTTGATGTTTCAAGTGTCGGGATTCTTGTTCGCCCGCATCAAGGCCTCCTGCACGCATGTGCAGCTGAAGCTGCCTGGGAAGGAGCACGAGGAGGTATTGGTGGACCTCTTCAGTAAAGAGGCAGATGCGGTTGTTCCAATGTAATTAGAGAGGGTACCGTACCATTGGAGAAAGATGCGCCCGTTTGGGTATGTGTGAAGGTACGGGGACGGCTCACCTGGGTGGTTTTCGTTTTGGTCTCCCCAGCGCTGGAAAAAGAGCCCCTCAAACAAGCACATTTCTTTTCTTTTTCCCCACCTGACAGTTCTGAAATCGCTAGATGTTACGTGACATCCAACCGCCACAACCCAGACAGCTGCGACAGAGCCTGTGACAGACAGATGTGACAGATGTGACAGACCTTGTACAGACAGCTGCGACAGAGCCTGTGACAGACAGATGTGACAGATGTGACAGACCTTGTACAGACAGCTGCGACAGAGACTGTGACAGACAGATGTGACAGACAGCTGTGACAGAGCTTGTTTGTCGCTGCCTGTCAGCGCCTGATAGACACGGACAGCTGCGACAGTCCAAAGCCTGAGGCTCTCGAAAATGGCTGGGCCTGCCGTGGCAGCGCGAAGCTTCAGGGGTCTAGTGCTTTTACTGCTGAAGCTCGCGCAAAACACCACCTCAGTACGTTCTAGGATATGACGTTTCCTTCTGAGGGTTTGCGCGCTGCACTTCAGCGAGTTTTGGTTTGATCAGGGGTCAACAGCGCGTATTTGCCCACAGTTTCGTTTGCGTTCCTTTCGCATCACGCACTCTAGAATTTACTGCTAGCCAGGTTGGACTTGTTTGGTTGTGCAACGACAGGCTTCAGCAGTCAGCGTCTCAGCGGCTTCAACTTCAAACAAGATTTTTCTGCCTTTGAATTGGAAACTGTCTTACGCGGGTGATTGTCGAAGACTTCTTGGTTGTTTTTTAAAACCGGGGAAAAAAGGGCGCGAACAAGCGCGGCAACACAAGTCCCACTTTGTTGTTGGGCAGATGCCGAAAACAATGGGACTCAGTTTAGATTTGCTTGCTCGGAGCCAAGAAGACAGGGAAGACACCATTGCTCTATTCTTCGCAAGGCGCCGCACTTCAGTCACATGTTCCTCGACGATTTGGGAGTAAGGTGTCATCTTTGCAGACACTCCAATATGCAAAACTCCAAGTCCCTGCTTCCAGAGTGCGCCATGGTTTTTGCCGCTTCTAGAAACTCCTAAATGTTTGTGGCTAAATGATTGGCTTTGACTCCGTTTTGCGCGCAGGTCACTGGAAGCTCATCGTGGTACCAGGCGCCTTGGGCGGCGCTGCCCAGTGCCGACCTGCACCACTTTCGAGTCACGCGAACCAAGCCGTGAAGCTTGCGTGTTTGGCCCCACGCCCGGGCGAAGCTCACCTACGCTTCCTTTTTCTGACGGCGCCTTGAACTGGTTGCTCAACATACGCTGCTAAACGGTTCGCGGAAAAACAGCAGCCCCGAAGGTGCAACGTATGTGAAAACACAGCCCAAGCGTATCTTGAACAGACTCACATGCTCAACATGACATGCAGGCGTGGCTTTTTTTGCTTATGCAGCTCAGATGCCCCATGTTGTTTGCTGCCAGCAGCTGGGCCCCGATGTTGTTTGAGGAACCTTTGTCAGCTTTCGCAACTAAGTTAACTAGCTGTTCGGAACCCTGCAAGCTCCCCACGCAATGCATGCGTGATGTCGATAAGGCGCAATGTTTCGAAATTGGGGCAACATGTTGGTACACAAAAAGCGCTCAGAATGCAACTCTTCAGGAAGACGTGGAGACCCTTACTGAGAAAGCTCTCCCGCAAGGCAACCCATTGGTTTGAGAAAAAGGCGGTTTCTAGAGAGTGTAGTATTGGTGTAGTACTGGGTACTTGTAAATTAGTACTGGCGATTGCTTGGGCCGGCTGGAGATATTTGGGGTCCGTTTGTAAACAGGAAGGAATCTATCCTGCAGCTCTTCTCACGTTTCAACTTGTTTTCATGTTCTCAGCTGGACCAGGATGGGCTCTTTCGCTCCAGTCCCCAAAGCCAGAGCAACAACTTCCATGGCTGGCCACGTCTCCAACAGGCAGTGGGAGTTACACTTGACAGTAGGCTGGCCATTCCTGAAATCCTCAAAAAGCTCAATTGCCTGCCAATAATGTTGTTGCCGTTCCCCGACCAAGCAAGGTTGCGTGCAGTCCTTCCGCACCTCGTGTGCCAACAAAGCAAGGGCATGCTGGCCATTGTAATGCGAACAAATTAGCTGCGGCCTTGGCGCGCCCGCCACGTTTCAGGCGGACTAGAGCACGCGCCGAACGTGTCGCCGCGGGTTTGGGAGGCGCGGCTGAGCTTGCAGATTGAGCGGGGGTTCCAGACAGACTCGCCAATTGGCAGCAGCATGCAGCCCAACTGGCGCGCCCCGCGCGGCGCGATCTGGAGTTGGCTAGCTTCGCTTGCTCTATTTTTTGCCCTTTTCCTTTCTTTAGACTTTGTCTACGGCTCCTGCTGCGCGACGGGTTGTCGACCTTGAAGCTGCCACCCCGCGCCCGGACCTGCGCGAGGTTCTGCCGTCCAGCTGCCGCGACGCCGTGTCTGGAGGCGTGGGTTTCTGGCGCCTCGCGCTGCAGCTGGGCCCGGACCTACGGCTGTTGGGGCCCCAGGCTGACTGATTCACAGGCAGACTGGCTGCGGTAGGTCGAGAAAGAGAAAAGACAGAAAAGAAAAGAAGGAAACGAGAGAGACCGAGAGAGAGAGAGAGAGAAAAGAAAAAAAAGGAAGAGAGAAAGAGATAGAGGCGAGGCGAGGCGAGGCTGTTTGTCTCACGTAACCAGCGTTCGTTTCTTGGTAGTTGCTGCGAAGTTTCGCTCGTTTCAGAGCTCATTTCTTGGCAGTTGCTGCTCACCTTGACATGTTTAATTTTTTAGCTCCTTGTGGCGTGAGCTCACGCAACTTGCGTGCCCGGGGCGCGCCCAGATTGTTGCGGTGCGAGGCTGCTCTCATGCAACCATATTTGCCAGACAAATTCTCAGCTTGTTTTTCTTTCAAACATGAGCTGCAGTCCTAGTGAGGTTTGTCAGTTTGTTGCTGATCGCGCAGCCGCTTTTTATGGCTTCTGAGCCACGTTGCCACTTCTTCCACGGCCAAATATCGTTCAACGCTGCGCGCTAATTTGTGCAACAATTCTCACAGGTTTCGTTGCGGTGCGACCAGGCGTTGGCGCAACAAAATCCATGCGATGGAAAGCTGCTACAAGACAAAGAAGCAAGACACCCAGCTGACCGAATGACGGAACCGATGTATAGTGAGACTGCAAATTTGTTTCCTTGCCCGAAAGGAAGGACCCAAGCCAACTCCCCGGGAGCCTTTTTTGTCCCGTACCGCCTGTGCCATGGATGACCTGCCGGTTGAAAGAGAGCTTGTCCTCTTTCTTTGCGACAGCCTTCTGTGCGCTCACAAGAGTTCTGGAGTGAAGCTGCACCAGCTGAAGGACGATGGCCAGACGTTTCTCTCCTGCCTTTGCATTGCTAGCGGAGGACCGTTGCGCCGAAATTGCTGAGCATGGAATGAAGGAAATCCTAGAACGGCTTGATCGATCTGGCCTGACTAGCACAAGGACATTTTTCCCAAAGAAGGAGATGTTAGGTAGTCATGTCACCCCTAAGATATGGAAAGGGCGAGGACAAGAACAGTCGCCCAACACAACTGAACTGCGTAATGTCCAAATCTTAAGAAGCAGCTCCAGCAATACTAAATCAAACGGAAACTCGGTAAAGGAAGCAGCAATACCAAATCCAACGGAAGCTCAAGTCTACCACTACTAATTTAAGTGGAAACTCACTTGAGCTGGATCTCAAGACGTTATTCAGGTGCCCCCTTTGTTTGGGGGGGGAGGGGACCCCTTTACCAATCCCAGGTGGACATTACTGTTTTCCGGCCCTGCTACCTGTTCGGTTGGCTCAGTGCCCAAACTCAAAGGTTCCGCGGACGAGTGATCCGGCTCCTCCTTTTGTATGTGGCAGCGCAGAAATCAACTAGGGAGTGCCTAATCCCGGGTTCTGACTCGGATCGGCCGGATTGCACCTTGCCTTTCACACTCCCTGAGTTCATGGACTTGAAGCTTTTTGGGACCATTTCAGTGGCAAACAGCAAGTTTAGACCTTGTTTTTAGCCACGGAAGTAAGTCTATGGTTCACCGTAAATTTTGCCTGGTGTCGCATTTCGGCACTTTTCTCTTTTTTTGGCCACTCAGGAAGTAAGACTTGTTGTGGCCACCCAGCTTAAAACCTTTCTTGGGCGATTTTTTTTTCCAGAGACAGCTTTTTGGACACTCAGCTTAACTGTTTTTTTGTTTTTCGATGTTTTTTTTCCCCGAAAAGCGGCCAGGAGCTTTGGTCCTGGGGGGAGAGTCCTGCCACTCAGCGGTGGCCTTGGCATTGCAAGCGCTGCAGAGCCCGCAGGTTCACGACCACCTGGCAGAGGCTGGGCTGGGGGAGAGGATGGGAAGTAGATGGTCCTGCCAAAAACCCAATCTAGGGGTTGATTCCTGCATTAAAATTTCACCATCGTTCTTTTATTATTAAAAAAAAACAACACTGTTTCCAACCTGGGTGTGTGGTTTCCTGAAAAGAAAAATGGATCCCTGGAAAGAATGGGGAAGATACCCCTAGAATGAAGAAGCATCTTTACCCCCAACATGGAACTGGGGCCGGGTGAGTTTTGGAGATCTCCATGTATGGTTCCATTCTGCCTTGCAAGGGGGAAGACTAGATAATTGGAATTGGGGACCCCCACACCCCTCCCCCTAATGGCAGGGGGGATGCATAAGCAGGGGAGTGTGACTCCGGATCTGTCAGATTTAGCTGCTTGAGACGCGTCGATGGCCGATGCCTTCCAAAGCCGTGTTTTGTTGGACTCACATCAACACAGAGCTCGAGGAGGCTAAGGAAGAAAATCAAGCATTTGGCAGCACTTCTCAGCTGTTGATTTTCACCACAGCTCTTTAAAGGGCGCTGCGGGTACCACTGTGGATGGACAAAATCCGCTTTTTACCGGGTGGGATGATGGATGAAACCCTGGCTTTGATGTATGAGTGTGTGTGTGTGTGTGTGTTGTAAAACGGGTGAAACGAGTGAAAATGGGTTAGTGTAACTATTGCATGGTTGTTGTTGGGAAACATTTCACATTTTTGCTTATTATGGCTTAGTGGGAAATCTCCACTTAACTGCTGAAATCTATTTTTTTTGCTCCCCTTCCAACGTCAACCAACATTCGGGGTAAAACGGGTGAACCGCCTGGACCAACTCTTTCACAGGACCCGGCGGTGCGTGTGCTGGTGCTGCGTGCCGCCCGCAGCACCGCCAAGTGCCGCACACGGGAGCAGCAGCTCAGAGCGATTTCTGGGGGGAGGGGTCGGGGGCGGTTTGTGGGCGTCGCGGGGGGTTGACGAGGTCCCCCAGCTAGGTGCCCTTTGACCGTTTCTTCATTCGAACCTCTCTACTGGAGGAACTAGATTCTAAGAAACGAGCAAAACGGGGGGGGAATTCTACTAGGTCCCCCAGCAGTGCCCTTTGACCATTTCTTTTTTGGGGGAGGGTTCTAGATGCCCATTCTCACCCTTTTTTGGTTGGGGGTTTGGGTTCCCTGACTAAAATAGACTACAGAAAGGGTACCCTTATTCTGACCTCTCTACTGGAGGACCTAGTTGAAGTTGTTTTTCTGTTGCGGGGATATTGGTTTCTTGGCGGTTCCCAGCCATCCGGTTCTTTAGATTTTCAAGTTTGGGGTTTGGTGGTTGGGTGTCCATTTAACGCACTACAAGTTACAGTAAGCTTTTAGGGGATCTGAGCACAGCGCAGGTTGGGGTTTGGCTTTTCAGGAGCCAGTGAGGTTCCATGCGGAAGGGTTAATGGGGGTTGTGGTTGCAGGGCTTTGGGCTGATCCCGAAGCTCACGGGAGCATGAGGCTCATCGAGCTTTATGAGGCTACGTACCCAGAGTCGAATTCTTATTCAAAAGACTTGTGGAGGGGTACCCCTTTTTGGTCGCCTGAAATGGAGACCAAACCGTGTGTGAGTTTGGGATGCCGAATTCTATTCAAGATGTTCCGAAAGGCAGCTGCTCAGCAGGCCGGTTTGCGCAAAATTGAGAAGTGGTGGGGCTGGGAGGGGTTGCAAATATGTCCCAAAGGAGTCACAAGACCCAAGAGGGTGTTTTGGGGGTTTCTCCAAACGGGCAGGGGAACAAACATGAACCCAGCCACTTCGAACATCACACCAGCATCTTGCTTGGCCCCTTTTCAGCCCTCCGGTCCTTGTAGACCATGAAGGCAAAAAGGTTTTGAAACTCGGGCCATTTTGAACAGTCCGGGTCCCCAGAGTATTTGTTCCTTCCCAGGTTCCCGCAGATCGTGCGTGACCGAGCGCAGTCGCAGCTGATCCAGGTCTCGCGGGATGTTGGGGATGTCTTTATTTGTTTTTTCTCCGCAGGCACTCGGGGGTCTACCGGCTTGACGACATGTTTGCACGGTTGCATCATGTTTGCATGGTTTCAACTGTTTTCATGCTTGATTTTGTTCTTGGTCAGTTGCGTACTCGGCTTGTCTTCGTTGGGTTCTTTGTTTGGTTGTCGAGATTGTGATATTCTTGGAGCAATTCTTGTTTGGGAGTGTAGCTGCTTGATCCTGCGATTCTTCACTTCCTTGGTTTGCTTGGCTCGCTGTGTTGCTTTTTTCTCTGGTTGCTTCTTGAAGCTTCGTCTGCTTCGTTTTTCTCGCACGAGGCCTTGGCCAAACATTTTTCGGACCGCCCACACCGACCCACACCAAGCACCGAGCGAACCCGCGCGAGGACCTCGAGACGCCCTGGAGCGTCTGCGACCTCGAAGACGTGATCCAGGGCCGCGAGGCCCTCGCGGGCGATTCGGGCGATTCGGGGTGTGTGTTCGATGCGAGGCGAGGCAAGGCGCCGCTTTTTTGGGCCGCGGGTCTTTGGACGGTTGGGCTCTTAAGGGGCATGGGTTTTAAACTTGTTGGCCAGAAAACGGGCGGGATTTGGGATGTTCGAGCTGAATTGGACCCAGACACAGCTTCGTGTTTGTGTTTGCTTTGTTTTTGCAGAGTTGGGTGTTTGGACCGGACGTAAACCTTTTGGTTGATACAGTGTTTGACTGCCAGCGGGTTATGGTCTTTATGGCCTTTTGGGAAGGAAACAGCTGGGATGGTATTGGGCCTATAAAGGCGATGCACTTTTTTGCAGAGGGGTCAATGCAAAGAAGTCAACAGCAACCAGCTGGTTTTTCCCTCTCTCAAGTCAGATTCACGGAAGGAGGCTACCTGAGGTATCCTAAAGTACTAAAGACGCATCGAGCAGAAAAGTCTGCCTCTGATTGGCAAGGCCGTATTTCCATGCTTTCGCCACTAGGATTTGATGCCGCGGGGTTGGTTTCCATTTCAGATTACATAGGTTGTACCCCAATGACCCATGCCTTGCCAGTCTTCTTTATGAGTGTATGTGCTTCCAATTTTTGGGCATCACGTCACCTTCCCAGGGTCTTCGGAGGACCAAGCGATCTCCACAGACTTCCAGATACAAAATTCGGGAGCAAATAAGAGGGGGGGTGGGAAACCAGCCGATAGCCTGAATCTAGGAGGTTTCTCATGTATACAACACGCATGTGTCAGAGCTAGGCTCCAGATAGTCAGTTGCATGGCAAGGTGAAGAAACAAGGGGTTCCTCTCGTTTCAGGTCAAGAAGAGTGGTCATGTTTGGAACCTTAGTGGCATGTATTCTCGTGCCTAACAAAACGGGGTGTTTGACGCTTCTTATGGCCAAGACTACCACCCACCATTTTTGGGCCCACACACACACTGGATTGCGCGACTGAGTGGGGCAGAACCAGCCGCTCAATCGCCACATGGAACCTGACAGCCAGACAGCCCGGAGGCTTGAGGCTCAAGAGATGACCCACTTCGGCATCATGGGCCACAGCCAAACATCGGTGTGGCTTCTGACCCAAAGGAACATCATGCACGGGGGTCTGAAAATGGGTTGCAGAATTCAGGTTCCTGCTTGCATATCATCGGAATTGTGTGTGTGTGTGAAGCACCCCAGAACCCATCGATTTAAGCCATTTTAAGCCATAAAGGTTCAACCGCACAATGCGTTTTCAGCACTTCTTAATGTGCTTGCCGTTTACATCCATTGGAGATAAGTTGAATATCTTTACAGCCTGGCTGACTTGAACATGACATCGCCCTACCCCATGTCTTCAAACAAGTACTCCAAAGGGGGGTTGTTTGCCTTTTAAAATAGCCCCTGAAAGGGTACCCTCCAAGAGAAGACACATTCGCTTAGCTGAAAGCCCAGTTGCTTTCGCAATAGGTCGAGTCCACTTCCATGAATTCTAGTGAGCACCCTTTGAATTTCTTTTCTGGTTATTTTGGACAACATTGTTAAATTCTGCTGATGACAAAAATTGCGGCTGGATACGTAGGGCCTGCCCTCATTTGGCTATGTGTCGACACTAGACAACTGGAATCTATTCTTCTAGTGTTGCGCTTTGCTCAGGTGTCGACAGTCCCGAAACATCCAATGACCACAGCATACCCCTTCAAATCGCAAGGGTTTGTGGACTACCCGCCGTTTTCCTTCCAGGTGGTCCCCTTGGTTTCGTACTATACAGGGAAAGGGAGACAAACTATCAGAAAAAAACTGCCCGAAACGGCATCGATCGCACCCTCGGGAGGCCCGCTTTGCGGAGCTGTCGCCGTGCCAGCTGCGGCATGGGAGCGGCATCTACGGCAAGGGAGACGACCTGCACTTCCGCAAGGAGACCCAAAGGCTTGTTCTTGAAAGGTGACACGCACTACTTGTATGTTTACTTGTATGTTTACTTGCTAGTTACAACAATTGTCCATTGATGACTTGAACTTGCTAGTTAAAACGATGTTCCATTGATGACTTGAACTTGCTAGTTAGAGCGATGTTCCATTGATGATTAGAACTTGCTAGTTACAACGATGTTCCATTAATGACTAGAACTTGCTAGTTACAACGATGTTCCATTGATGACTAGAACTTGTTAGATACAACGATTTTCCATTGATTACTAAAACTTGGTAGCTACAGCGATGTTCCAATATTGACTAGAACTTGCTGGACACAACAATGTTACATTGATGACTAGAACTTGCTAGTTACAACGATGTTTCATTGATGACTAGAACTTGCTAGTTACAACGATGTTCCATTGATGACTAGAACTTGCTAGTTACAACGATGTTCCATTGATGACTAGAACTTGCTAGTTAGAACAATTGTTCATTGATGACTAGAACTTGCCTGTTACAGCGATGTTCCATTCATGACTAGAACTTGCTAGTTACAACAATTTTCCTTTGATGACTAGAACTTGCTAGTTACAACGACGTTCCATTCATGGCTAGAGCTTGCTAGTTACAACGATGTTCCATTAATGACTAGAACTTGCTAGTTGCAGCGATTATACATTGATGACTAGAACTTGCTAGTTACAACGATTTTCCATTGATGACTAGGACTGGCTAGTTACAACGATTTTTGATTGATGACTAGAACTTGCTAGATACAACGATTTTCCATTGATTACTTGAACTTGCTAGTTAAAGCGATGTTCCATTGATGACTTGAACTTGCTAGTTACAACGATGTTCCATTGATAACTAGAACTTGCTAGTTACAACAATTTTCCATTGATGACTAGAACTTGCCAGTTGCAACGATGTTCTATTGATGACTAGAACTTGCTAGTTACAGCGATGTTCCATTAATGACTAGAGCTTGCTAGTTACAACGATGTTTCATTGATAACTAGAACTTGCTAGTTACAACGATGTTCCATTGATGACTAGAACTTGCTAGTTACAATGATGTTCCATTGATGACTAGAACTTGCTAGTTACAGCGACTATCCATTGATGACTAGAACTTCCTAGCTACAACGATGTTCCGTTGGTGACTAGAACTTGCTAGTTACAACATGTTTTCATTGATGACTAGAACTTGCTTGTTACAGCGATGTTCCATTGATGACTAGAACTTGCTAGTTACAACGATTTTCCAGTGATGACTAGAACTTGTCAGTTACAACGACGTTCCATTCATGACTAGAGCTTGCTAGTTACAACATGTTTTTTCATTGATGACTAGAACTTGCTTGTTACAGCGATGTTCCATTGATGACTAGAACTTGCTAGTTACAGCGAGTTCCCGTTGACGAGTAGAACTTGCTAGTTACAACGATGTTTCATTGATGACTAGAACTTGCTAGTTACAACAATGTTCCATTGATGACTAGAACTTGCTAGTTACAACGATGTTCCATTGATGACTAGAACTTGCTAGTTACAACGATGTTCCATTGATGACTACAACTTGGTAGTTACGGCGATGTTCCATTGATTACCAAAACTTGGTAGTTACGGCGATGTTCCATTGATGACTAGAACTTGCTAGTTACAACGACGTTCCATTGATGACTAGAACTTGCTAGTTACAACGACGTTCCATTCATGACTAGAGCTTGCTAGTTACAACATGTTTTTTCATTGATGACTAGAACTTGCTTGTTACAGCGATGTTCCATTGATGACTAGAGCTTGCTAGTTACAACATGTTTTTTCATTGATGACTAGAACTTGCTTGTTACAGCGATGTTCCATTGATGACTAGAACTTGCTAGTTACAGCGAGTTCCCATTGACGAGTAGAACTTGCTAGTTACAACGATGTTTCATTGATGACTAGAACTTGCTAGTTACAACGATGTTCCATTGATGACTACAACTTGCTAGATACAAGGATTTTCCATTGATTACTAAAACTTGGTAGTTACGGCGATGTTCCATTGATGACTAGAACTTGCTAGTTGCAACGACGTTCCATTGATGACTAGAACTTGCCAGTTGCAACGATGTTCTATTGATGACTAGAACTTGCTAGTTACAGCGATGTTCCATTAATGACTAGAACTTGCTAGTTACATTAATGTTCCATTGATGACTAGAACTTGCTAGTTACAACGATGTTCCATTGATGACTAGGACTTGCTAGTTGCAACGATGTTCGATTGATGACTAGAATTGGTAGTTAGAGCAAATTCCCATTGATTACTAGAACTTGCTAGTTACAACGATGTTCCATTGATGACTAGAACTTGCTAGTTACAACGATGTTCCATTGATGACTAGAACTTGCTAGTTGCAACGATGTTCCATTGATGACTAGTGAAAGTATATTAGCCAGTTGTTCACCATTTTTTCCCCGACTTGCTGAACAAAGGCCCGGAGCATTTTGGGTAGACTTAGCAATTTCACTCTTTTGGAAATGACTTATTGACTCCCCATTTGCCATACAGTGCATGGGTGTGGGTGAGTTGTAAGCAATAGGGAGCCGGAGGGGCCCTTTCCGAGGATGGTTCCAGAATGACACTGCATAGAAGCGATCATCTTGAGGCGTCCAGTTTGTTCCGACACACCACCATTCAGGAGATCCAGCTCACCCTGGTGATAAACAATTGGGGACTATTTTGCAACCATTTCGTTTGCGTATTACTTGTTTGAAATCTGAGTTGCAAAAACAAGGAATGTGAAGAAGTAAGGTCTGATTTGGGTGTGGTTCCTTGTTTTAGGAAACCCTTTTTGGTTGGTGTTCAGCGGGATACCAAAAGAAAGCCAATCGGTTTGGGGGGTCCCCTGAAAAGCACACACCGATTTGTTTTCTGCGCGGATGGACATGCGAGAACCATGAGAGCCCTACTCTATTCATCAACCAGGGATTTGCGAATATGTAGCATGTTGCAAACTTGGTTGACAGGAAACGTCACTTTCCCAAAGCCAATCGATTATTCTCCGGATGCCGTTTTGGGTGTGAAATTCCCCGAAAGCAAGGGGGAGCTTTGCGTGTTCGTCATTTTGAACAGCATGTCTAAGATTAGTTTATTCTAGTGCTACCTTCCCCATTCTTTCCAGGGATCCTTCTTTCTAGAACACCTCCGGAAACCCAGGGAAACGGATCCGGGTTTTGAAAAGAATGATGGTTGAAAAGAATGGAAAGGGAATCAACCCTTAGACTTATTCCCTCAGGGCATAGAGGCCGCGCGCTGCGCGAGCTGCGCGAGCTGAGCCTGTCAGGACATTGCCGTGGCCGCCGGAGATGAGCTTCTGAAAGCTGTGCGGCGCACTGCTGCCACCAGGTATCCCGACTACCGGCAGAGAAGAGAGGCGCGGGGTTGAGAGAAAGCCGGTTGGAAAGAACGATAGTGCAAGCGGCAAAACACATTCCTAGCAGTTTCCCCCTACACTCATGGCTAACATAGGTCTTATTCCAAATTGTTTAGGTTCTTGTAGTAGTTGACCCAATCCCAGCCAGTGAGTAGATTGCGCATGTCTCCATGGTGTTGCTTAAAAAGCTCCGACAATTGAATGGGGCTATGCTTGACACTTCCTGTCCACACGATTTCAACATGTCCGCGTGAAACGCAGCAGACAGAGTCAGGCGGTCAGGCGGTCTGCAGAGTGAAGCTGTCCAGGGCACTTCAAGTTCCTTCGGCAAGAAGCGCCTTCGATGTTTGTCCCAAGCAGAAGTTCCTTGGAAAGGTTCCTTGGAAGAGGCCGCGCAGGCCATTTCCAGAACCCACCCACTTGTTTGGTAACTGGGGTTCGTACGACATAGCCGTACGGATGGACCAAATCCGCCAAACTCGCCAGTTGATAAACCTTCTACCAAGTGGTGCCGGGCGTGGATTTTGTCCACTAGTGTCTTCCATTTGCTTCAGAGTTTGGTTTTCCCCTTGTTGATTTTAAAGGGAATCTATCACTGCTGGAAATCTTTACATTTTCCGGTGGGCCTAAGCAAATCGAAGGTATGGTTCGCCTTTTGTCCTTTTGGAATCAGGGGTTTTGGGAATCAATTTGGCGGTGGTTCAGTTTGGGCTCGTTCCCTGGCCAAATTTAACCAGCAAGTTCCGGCAGTTGTACCCCGGCATCATTACCCAGTAAAATTCCCACCTAAGTGTTCACCAAAGGGCCCGGCACCCAGTACAATTGTCCCCTACACGTTTGCCAAAGGCTAAGGGGGACCCAGGAAAATATGAGCTCTCGCTCTCACATTTGTATGCCCTATTGCTCAGGCAAACACCGACTTCCGGGACCTCAAAAAAAGAAAAGTCACGCCAAATTCGCAGGAAAATGTGTTCACCAAAGGGTCCGGGACCCAGTAAAGAAACCCCACCCATTTCTTGAGAACTTTAACTTTTTGGGACATCATTCGGGTTTTGTCTTACTAAACCCACACAAAGTGATTTACTTTTTGCAGAGGGGTCGTTGCAGCAACCAAGATTTGGGTATGAGTCAAAATCAAACCACCACAAAAACCGCAGGTTTAGTCTATGTTTCCATTTACCAGGGTTCTACTTTGGGTACCTATTTTGACCGATACGAAAATTTCGGGATGGACGTTGTCAGGTGTTGCTGGTCCTGGCGGCTGGTTGGAACGCCGAGGGCTTGGAAGACGTTTGCCTCGACGAGGACGGCCACGCCTGGCGCAGGGCGGAGCTGGTGGCGTTGGCGGAGCTCTGCGCGCTGAACGGCCACGGCTTCTTCAGCTTCCACGCCGCTCGGTTGGCGGCGGGTTGACGTCAGTTTATTCCCTCTGTTCGATAGGCACATGAGCCCCAAATGACCAAGGGTAACTGTTCCCCTTTGCCATCCATGCTTTTTGGCGGGGGAAGTCGTAGGTTGACGTCAATATTGGCCGTGGGTCAACACCGTTATGGGATCCCATTTTGGGGTATAGGTGAATTCACCACCAATTTTAGAACCTATTTTGGTGGTTGGATTGACTCGGATGTTCACTGAAGGTACGGGGTTTTGACCCATGGGCATATTCCCTGCACTGTTCGATAGGCACATGGAATGAGCCCTAGAAAAGCCATCCATGTCCTGTGGTTTCCTTTAAGGGGCCTAGGTTGGTAAATATTCCATGGTATATTCCCTCAACTGTACAATAGGTCAGAAATCCCCATCCCCTGAAGGGAAATTCCCGCTGTGGTGACTCTTCCCCCTTTTTGTCTTATCCCACAAAAGCCATCCATTTCCTATGGTTTCCTTTAAGGGGACTAGGTTGGTCAATATTCCATTAGCCCCAAATGACCATGGGGGAAGTCGTATCTTTTGTTTTCCCTAGGGTTATTCCCTCCACTGTTCGATACACGGAAGGAGAGAAACGGAATGAGCCCTAGAAAAGCCATCCATTTCCTATGATTTCCTTTAAGGGGCCTAGGTTGGTCAATATTCCACTAGCCCCAAATGACCATGGGGGGGGGAAGTCGTATCTTTTGTTTTCCCTAGGGTGATTCCCTCCACTGTTCGATACACGGAAGGAGAGAAATGGAATGAGCCCTAGAAAAGCCATCCATTTCCTATGGTTTCCTTTAAGGGGACTAGGTTGGTCAATATTCCATTAGCCCCAAATGACCATGGGGGAAGTCGTATCTTTTGTTTTCCCTAGGGTTATTCCCTCCACTGTTCGATACACGGAAGGAGAGAAACGGAATGAGCCCTAGAAAAGCCATCCATTTCCTATGATTTCCTTTAAGGGGCCTAGGTTGGTCAATATTCCACTAGCCCCAAATGACCATGGGGGGGGGAAGTCGTATCTTTTGTTTTCCCTAGGGTGATTCCCTCCACTGTTCGATACACGGAAGGAGAGAAATGGAATGAGCCCTAGAAAAGCCATCCATTTCCTATGGTTTCCTTTAAGGGGACTAGGTTGGTCAATATTCCATTAGCCCCAAATGACCATGGGGGAAGTCGTATCTTTTGTTTTCTCTAGGGTTATTCCCTTCACTGTTCGATACACGGAAGGGTCGGGGTTGATCTAATATTCGATGGGCCCTAAATGACCATGGCTAGCTTCTCCCCCCTCATGGCCATGGTTTTCCCTCAGGGTCCAAAGCTAGTTTATATATTTGGCCTCCAAATGGGCATGATGGAGTTCCCCTCAGAAGTCATCTTTGTTGATGATTTCACCATGGTCCAAAGCTAGTTTGTATTTTAGGGAAGACTGAATATGAAACAAGCACAGACATTATTTTTTGTTTTGTGTACTAAACAGTGGGTGGGCGAACAAAATGATCTGCGAGTTGCAGGGGTTTTAGCTCAGTCAGACCTGATCTTATTTTTTGAATTAGACCCCCCCCCGCTTGGTTAAACAAAGAATATTGCGTCCCAAGCCACGCCAGGCCATTGACCTCCTCCATTGGAATGCGAGGGCTTCTCACAAGACTCACAACATAAAAGGCACACCCCATCATGTTGGACAGGTTGGAATTCACTGTTGCTTGATGTTTTGAACACATGTTTGAGAATGTTTTTGCTGGATGTGCCTATTCCAGCGATCTGAATGTGTCAAACGTGCTCTTTTGGTGTCCTGTTGGTGGTCTACTTGCCGGCAAGAAAGGGAAGAGGCTTCTGCAACAGTGGGAGTGCTCCCTGTGTTGCTCTTCCACATGTGGACCTGTCCTGAGGCAAAGTTCGTGGATCTCCTCCGCAGGTGCCGCGAGGAGCACATACCCTTTCTCTTCCAAGAGGCGGAGTTGCTCGCAGCGGTTTTTTTCAGACATGGCGTTGGGGATGTTTGGGTTCTCCTCGGATGCGATTTCGTATATTTTAAAGTTGACCAACAATGAAACATGATCTGAACATACTATTTGTGATGTACGCAGGGGTGGGCCGTTGGGCGAAGGTAAGTTGGGAGAGAAATCCAGCAGAATGTGCCCCCAGTGGATATTTGTTGGGTGTCCCTTTTAGAGGGGATCCTTCCCCCCCCCCCCCCCCCGTCAATCCGAACGGTTGATTGATTCATCCGAGATCCACCTTAGGCAGCTGACCCAAAGTGGGGATGGTTAAACTGTTGGATTGCGTGGATAATTACCAGAAGTGTCCCCATCGAGCGAACCAGACTGTTGTGATTTGTCAATGACAGAGAGAGAGAGAGAGAGAGAGAGAGAGAGAGAGAGAGAGACAGCTCCGTGTCGAAAACGCTTGGCTTCTTTGGGCGAACAGACATGGTCATAAACTCCGTCACACTTGATGTAGTCAACCTTTTGACATGAAGGATCATTGCCAACCTGTGAAAGACCCTGTTCACATGAACAGCCCGCGGTTTCTTGGTGGTTTTTCATTCACCGGTGGCTTGCTTTCATTCAGAAGTCTGGCATAGTCGCTGGATCCCATCCGTAGGGCCCTAGGGCGAAGGGATGCTGAAGATATGGTATAGCTTCACCGGTGGCCACGGGTTTTTCAGGTATTTTGTTTGTGTCCTCTGCTTGAAAGAAGTGGGGGGCTGCAAACAAGAAGTGTTGGTTTGTTATTGGAACAAGGGTTGGAAAGATGATAGGCTGGATATGCTGAATTCTGAGGTTTATGTGAGTGAAAGTTCCAAGATTGAGGGGTGCCTGGTGGGTTCTGCAAAAGCAGACGTCCATGAACCGAAATCCAGCCAAGTCAAAGGGCTCTCTGATGTGCGTTGGTCTCAAAGGGGAACCCCCAAAAATGGTTGGTTTCCTTTTCGCCTTTTGGTGTCCCGCTAGACCAACCCAAACCGGCTAGCCCAAGAAAGCGACAAACTCAAATACAGGTACGTGTTAAAACAGGAATCGGTGCGCTCACCATGAATTTAGGTTTTCCTGTTTGTTTTTTTGGCGAACCCGGCAGAAGGTTACCCTCAAAACTTGCTGGTGCTCAGCAGGGAATGAGACATGGAAGGACTTGTATAAACCATCCAACTGGTGGTTTCCTTTGAGGGGACCGACCCCTGGGTTCATTCCCTTTCTCATTCCCTACCGATTTCGCACCAGCAAGAAAAAGCTCACAGCATAGCACCGGCATCCCGCAGGTCTCTCAGATCCGCAGCTTGCTGGTGGGCTCTCCAGAGATCAAGCCGCTGCCGCTGACGCGCCCCGCGCAGCAGGGGCTGCCCTTTAAGCGTCGAAAGACCGAGGCCGGCCTTCCGGGGATTTTGCAGCACGCGTTTCGTCAATATGCAGAGTACGTGAGCAAACACATGTTGTACCTATATTGTGTTAAATTCGCATAATATGTACCTGTGCATACAAACACATATATATATATATATGTGCATGTGCAATACATTTACGAATACGCCTATGCATCTGATATGTTTATACACGTGTTTGTTTATACACGTATTTGGGCCGCGACTGGGGTAGTGAGTAGGGAGGTAGCCGGCCGTTTGGAGGGCGCTCTGAGTTCGAAAAAAAAACTCCGCCGGCCACGCATTGTGTGTTTCTTCACTGACCAGAAAGGACATGTGGCTTAGGATATGAAACGAAACCACAAAAGCTATGGACGGTTTCCTTTGGGATTTTCCTGTAAAAACAGGCAAGAAAGGGTACCAGCTCCTCAAAAGAGAGAAATGTACTTGGCCATAGTGAGGAGAGCGGACTTGATGCCTTGCAGGAACGTCTGGAGTGCCGAGTTCATTTGTTGGATGAATGGAACAACTGAGGCTCACTTGTTCCATCGCTCCAAATTACATTTTTCCTTTTCCTGTTTTCCCCCCCGATCCTTTTGGACTCACCGGGCATTGACCCTGTCTTCATCTTTAGATTGCTCACCTTGGCTTGTCCCACTACGTTATGTGCTGTCACGGGGCTGCTTTCCTGCACCAATCAAATGTCGCCTGGAATGAATTGCTCAGTAGCCCTCTACCTCCCTCTCCCCCTCCGTCTCTCCGCCTCAGTATGAATTATGTTGCGGAAAGCGCCGCGAAGGGTGGGTGTACATAGATGCTGCAATGTGTAGGTGTCCACCAAAGGGTTCAACAAGCAGAACTTATTTCCCCTCCTGCAGGGTTAGGCAATGATTAAACAACCATACCACGTGCCCCTCAATAGTGACAACTCAACGGAGTTTGTTTAGACAATCGGTGTTTAAACATGCTTAAAGAGCACATTAAGCCCAACCTGTCCATTATTTAAATTTGCTTGTTGACATACCAGTACAACCCTCCATTTGCTTAAGAATAGAATCAATCACTACTGTGTTTGTTTTTCCTTAACCAAATGGAAGCAACTGCTGTTTGTTTGTTGAGCTTCACCTCCCTGTTACTGCGCTCCCAGGATGCGAGCCAGACCGCTCCCAGTGGGGCAACCTCGCACCAGGTGAGCGGGGCATGAGGGTGTTGCGAACCATGGGCTGGTGGGGATCTTCCACGTGCTTAAGAATATGTGTTGTTTTCCCCTGTTCCATTTGCAGGGAATCCATCACTATCGGACCTATTTGTGTTTTTTTGGTCCAGGCTTGAGCAAATGGAGGGAATTGGACTCCGTGGAGGGGTTCGAATCCACCCTGAGAGTGAGTTTCAGTCGTGGCCAGTGAACTGGCTGGTTGCGGGACCTTTGGCTGGGAAAGCCTAGAAGACTGGGCCATCCAATTTGGAGCTGGAGGCTTTGACGTCCTTTGGGCAGTATGTGGAACCATGGCATTGGTTGAGCTCATCCAGGGCTAAAGCGAGGAAGCCAGCGATTCAGTTCGCGGCAGAGTGGCTTCAGCTTGCATAATTCTTGTTTGCTTCAGCTTCCGTGCACTTGTGTAATGTGCATTGTTTGAGGAATGGTCCAGCCTCAGCATCTCAGCATGGTTTGCCTGCTTCTGCGTTTGGCACAGGCTTGCCCTGTGTTTGCCAATAGCACCACTTGTCCACAGCACCTAGTTGCACTGCCCTTCCTTGCGGCCTATTTGCAGATTATGTGAAGCAAGCATGGCATGAGTATAGGAAACTTTGCAGTTTTGGAAAGGCTGCCTGCAACAAACGCTGCGTCCTTGGAAAGGCTGGCGATGAGGAAAAGTGAGACAGAGACCCACACAGCCTTGTAGGAGCCTCAAACAAACATCCCGTCCTGGTCTTTTGGCGAGGAAGAGCCCAGAGACGGAGTCTCACTTGGATGTTCAACCAAGTTCCTAAGTGGGTAGCCACTTGGGTCATAGCCCGCAACTAACAGTCTTAGCTCAACTTGTGTGGACTTAGATGTGGTTTATAAGTGGGCGCTGACCCAGGTCACGACCAGCTTCCTGCCACTCAAGCACCTTATATGTGGGCTGTGACCCAGGTTGCGACCTTCCTAACTTGGCCGAGGATTCAAGCAGCACCAAGAAGACAGGCCCCCGTGGGTTGTGACCCAGGTTGCGACCTTCCTAACTTGGCCGAGCATTCAAGCAGCACCAAGAATTGGACTTTGGGTCCATTTTTGGTGGACGGAAAAGGGTTAACTCAACTTGTGTGGACTTAGAAGTGGTTTATTTGACCCAAGATACGCTCAACTTCCTGCCACTCAAGCACCAAGAAGCCCTTTGAGGCCATCGACTTGGAAGCGGCCGAGCCATTGGCCAAGCCATTGGCCGAGCCGTTGGCCGAGCTTCTGAGCATGGGCTTCCCCTTAGCTGCGGCGCAGCGGGCGCTGCAGCGCTGCAGCGGCCTGTGGGAGGCCGTGGATCAGCTGTTGCAAGGCGGGTGAAAAAGGCACCCCGAATCGTCGGCTGGGAGCTTCAGGAAGTTGTCGCGCAAGGGTTCTGTTGATGCAGGTGTTGCTAGCACTTTTTTTTATGATGTCTATTTGTTTATTTGTGAACCTTTGTTTTAGCCTAATGCCGTGATGTCTGGCTTTTCCAGTGTCCAGTGCCCACTTGGCGATCTGACTGCCTTTCGAAGCCGTACCGCGCGAAATGTGCCCACATGCGAAATGTGCCCCAACAAGGGGCACGGAGTCACGGAGCCACCAGCAATAACGTACTTACATGTTGGCATCATCTCATGCTTGAAGCCATAATATTGGGGATATGCGGAGGATCGTATACCAGGTCACAATATGATACAATACGGGTTTGGGTCAAAAATAGGTGCAACCCTGGTAAATGGAAGCATGGACTGAAGCCTGCGGTCCACATTTATCCTGGTGGTTTGACTTTGACCCACACACCCACACCCATATGGCCATGGGTCAATGTCCCGTACCTCCAGTGAACATCCCAATCCCCACTAAAATAGACTAGAATGGGTGGTGCACCTACCCCAAAATGGGATCCTATTGGTTTTGACCCACACCCATATGTCAAATCTGGAGATCCCTCCAATTCCATGACTCGCGCGTTGACACCTCGCCTCAGAACTGTCGACCGCTCGCCCAGGCCTTTGCCACGCGGCCTTTTCGATGCAGAAGGAGTGACTGAAACCGCCGAGGCCGCGAAAGTGGCGAACATTTGGTCAGAGTTCTGACGGATTTTGCGCAACCTCCATTTGCTCAAATGAACATACTTTACATATTCATCCCAGTTGGTTTTGAAGGGAATCCGTGGACACATTTTCTCATTTGTTTCCAGTCGGAAACAGCAAATGGAAGAGTAAAACCAAATAGAGCTCGGGGTTTACAAGAGCCCTTACAGTCTTCGGGGTAGGGATCCCTTTGCAGTTGCAACCCTCCATTCTTTGCCCAGTGGATTCCGCCCCTTTCCACTCTTTTTGGGGTAAGGGTTCCCCTGTAAACTCAACAAACAAACAACACATGTCCGTGTTTTGCCCATGGAAATCCAGACATCTGAGCATTCGCTGAAATGAATATGCTTTTTGCTTTTCCCCTTGTTGGTTTTCAAGGGAAACGATTTCACTGCTGCACAGGTTTTCTCATCTGTTCTGGGGGGCCCGTGTTCGCAAATGGAAGGCCCGGTTTCAGGTACCGGAGCCATGAGATTTGGCATGTGACAGGAGAAGGTCTCAACGGCCCCCTGCTCAAAATGAAAACGCTGCACTTAGGTGAAAAAGGGATGGCCCCTGCTGGGAACGAACGCAGCCTCTTTCATTTTCGGAGTCCTGACCCGTCCTTTTATTTTCGGAGTCCTGGTAGAAGTTTGCATGCCGTTCGAGCGTATAGTGTAGTCATATGTGCGCTTTTCCGTCGCTCGGAGGTCCTGGATGCTGTTTTGAGGGGTGGGGGAAGACCATTCTAGTGGTAACACAAACAGTTCCAACGGTTTTTGCAACCACAGCTTCGTTTGGTTGAATTTTCATGGCACTGGTTGCAGGCTGGTTCAAATCATTTACCAGTGCCATCTATTTTACCAAAAGAATACCTATGTTTCTGACCCTTGTGACAAAGTCCCTTTGCCATCTAGGAAGACAAACTCCCATTCTTCAAGCGTGTTTTTTTGTTTTTTGCGGGCAACCCACAGACTGTGTCGACCTCAATGGCTCCAAAAGGCGAAAGGCGGGTCGATTGAGAATTGCAGGAAGGCGACCCCAATATACTCACGAACGACGACCTTGGCTCAAGCTCTTTGGGATATTGATGTCTTGAATTTGCTACCCACACACTTTTGGGATTTGATGTCTTGAATTTGCAACCCACGCACTTTTGGGATCTTGATGTCTTGAATTTGCTACCCACACACTTTTGGGATCTTGATGTCTTGAATTTGCTACCCACACACTTTTGGGATCTTATGTCTTGAATTTGCTACCCACACACTTTTGGGATCTTGATGTCTTGAATTTGCTGCCCACACACTTTTGGGATCTGATGTCTTGAATTTGCTATCCACGCACTTTTGGGATCTTGATGTGTTGAATTTGCTACCCACACACTTTTGGGGTCTTGATGTCTTGAATTTGCGACCCACACACTTCTGGGATCTGATGTCTTGAATTTGCTACCCACACACGTTTGGGATCTTGATGTCTTGAATTTTGCTACCCACACACTTTTGGGATCTTGATGTCTTGAATTCGCTACCCACACACTTGTGGGATCCTGATGTCTTCAATTTGCTAACCACACACTTTTGGGATCTTGATGTCTTGAATTTGCTGCCCACACACTTTTGGGATCTTGATATCTTGAATTTGCTACCCACAAACTTTTGGGATCTTGATGTCTTGAATTTTCTACCCACAGACTTTTGGGACCTTGATGTCTTGAATTTGCTACCCACACACTTTTGGGATCTTGATGTCTTGAATTTGCTACGCACACACTTTTAGGACTTGATATACACTTTTGGGATCTTGATGTCTTGAATTTGCTACCCACACACTTTTGGGATCTGATGTCTTGAATTTGCTACCCACACACTTTTGGGATCTTGATGTCTTGAATTTGCTACCCACACACTTGTGGGATCTTGATGTCTTGAATTTGCTACCCACACACTTGTGGGATCTTGATGTCTTGAATTTGCTACCCTCACACTTTTGGGATATTGATGTCTTGAATTTGCTACCCACACACTTTTGGGGTCTTGATGTCTTGAATTTGCTACCCACACACTTGTGGGATCTTGATGTCTTGAATTTGCTACCCACACACTTGTGGGATCTTGATGTCTTGAATTTGCTACCCTCACACTTTTGGGATATTGATGTCTTGAATTTGCTACCCACACACTTTTGGGATCTTGATGTCTTGAATTTGCTACCCACACACTTTTGGGATCTTTTTCGTTTTGATTTGCTACCAGCCATACTTTTTGGGTCTCGATGTTGCCAACCCTCCGCGAAAGTTCGGCATCATAGGTCTTGGCACAGCTGCTGGCGGTGTGGTTCAGCCAGAGGCACAGCCTGGAGGACGATGCATGGGTCTGAAGAGACGTCTCCACATCGAGCCCAGGTTTCTTTGGGGTCAAAATGAAATTCCTGTATGGATTTATATGAAGAGGATGTGTTGTTTTGGGTTCTTTTTGTTACTCTGCAAAGCCTAAAGCTCAAATGTAGCTACTCGTCGTTCGCGGTTGCCAACCTTGTCCACCAGAGGGGAGCATGGTCCAGTTGCCCAAGGGATGTACTCGCCTCTACCTTGGATTTCGGTTCCGACCTAGGTAGTTCGGTTCGCGAATCCGTTTCGCCGGGAGGATATGGATTGATGTTCGGTGGCGTGTGGTTGGCCAGGTTACCGAGTAGTGCCCTTTTACCCTTTTTGGGGGGAGGGTTCCCCTACAAAAATAGACTACAGAAACAAGGGCCCTTATTCTAACCTCTCCACTGGAGGCCCTAGGTTGGTTTCCCCTTGATTTCTTTCTAGATCATGCTTGCTTATCCAAGGCGTACTGTCGGGTTCTGGGAGTGGAAGAGGTTGCTAGTTGTGGTTGAGTTCTCTTCTACTGCAAGAAATGTGCCTGGGAGTGCGAAGGT